GTACCATAAGCGTATGTGTGGAACCTTGATATCCCTATCTAGACCAAACTAACCACTAGTGTTATCTGTGTAATTCGGCCCGGTCATCAATATGTATCGATCTCAGCTCTGAATACAATACAGAAAAGAGCCGGTCTATCCTGTTTATTAATTTCAATGTTTACCAATGTGGTATTGTAAATATTCCATACATAATAGTAACTACTTTAAGCTTTTGTTCCAAGTACTGGGAATCCATAACGATTGTGAACTTCAATTAGTGTGTAGAGTGAAAACGATGAGTTAAGCGAGGTGTACACAATATTGATTCTTCATGCCATAACTTGTCAAACAATACGTTTAATAATGAATATGAATTCATTATCAATTAGGAATAGAGCAAACGTGGATGAAAAAAACACCAAAAAATGTCTTAAAATAATAATAAATGTAAAAAGTGAAATTATATTACAAGTTTCAACAAACGCATTAATAAGTTGATAGAGGAGACATGCCTCTTGTTTCTGATATTCATGAGTCATACCTTTTTTTCTTTCGATGTCTATGTATTTCTCGATATTGCCTTTTCCTTTCAACCTTAATCTCAAAGTTTTCTTGAGTGGTAACCCTAATTTTTGTCTAATAGACCTTTTCCAAACCCTAAACGTCATATTCTTGACATATATGTATTCCATTTGCTTAAGGAAAATTGAAGATGACCTAAACAGAATAGTAGCTACACAGTATAGCGGTTATATTAAACTGTAGGAAATTGAAGTCATATGTTAAAGAATTAAGAGAGTAAGCTGGAAAAGAATCTTAAACCACTTCAATACACAATTACAAAAGCAGAACTCGTTTGCGATAAACAAAATGCAAGAGCTGTTATTTGCTTACGCCTATTGTGGTTGGTTGACAATGGTGTCCCCACATGAAGGAGTAAGTCCAGGGTCGTATGAGAGTGTTGTGTCACAAAAAAATGTCATAACCTGGATACGGTGTTGTGATACCAATCATCTTTCATATTTTTAAAGTTAGAGGTAAATAGTTGTTAATGAAGTGTTAAAAGAGGTGCAGTAAATTAACGTATATATATCAGTACATATTTATGTCAGAAAATTGCTACTTTTTTTTTTAAATTATGAGAGGTTGAATTGGAATACATTCCCGTTATGGGTCAATACTGTTGATTAAACAGTATTTTCATGAGTTAGGTCCACTCAGTTTTAATCAACATTAAATTCTAATAGATGGTAAACGTTCTTAGAGCCTATTTTAAACTTGCATTTTGTATAGCTTAAGGATGTACTCTTCTGAGGTTTCAGTCACGTTCAAGTCTCGTTTTGATCTGGTGTAACGGGTTTGTAATATTTAATAAATTATGATAGGTTTAATAGCAAACACACATCTGAAAAACGTGTCAAAAAACTGGATGTCTGTTGTGTGTAGATTTTTTTTACAAGAACTTGAAAAATATTACCAATTTTGAAAAAGTGTATTTATGTGAATTTCTTGCGCTTCACAAAGGGCAAAATTTCACCTTTTTGACACTAGATTAATCACTTAAATTGTCATTGTGTCACCATATTTAAATGCAGCAGGTTCAATTTTGCTGTTCAACTTTATAATGTTCAATATGATTAAAATAATATGCAAAAAAGTGGAAAGTTATATATTATTGGTGGTTTTTTTTTACATGTTAGGGTAACTGAAGCACTTTTGATTTTTGACCCCGAAAAAGGTGAAAAATAACACAAATAATAATGGGACTAAAAAAGAAGCACACCGACCCCCCCATTTTTGTGGCTGTTTTAGAAAGAGAAACACAGTTTCTTTTGATTCATTGAATACCAAAATAAGTTTAATACAGGATTTTTTTTTATATCAAGCGTTTAATCTGGAAAAAATGGTGAAAAAATGTGCATTTTTCATTGAAAAATAAGGGGTAGGGGTAACTAAAATCGTATTTCTGAGTAAAATGAATAAGATTAAGAAATTTTACTTCTATAATTTAAAAGAAAATAATATTTTTATCAATTCTATAAACATTCATACAAAACCCGAAAATTCACCTAAAATCACCTATTGTGTTAAATTGGTATCTTTGACCGATCATAGCACAAAAACGAACACACGGACATGTACATTTTTTTGGCATTTTCTACTATGCCGTTATCACCTTTTTACAAAAATCAATATAAGAAAAAAATTAATACAAGAATTTTTTGACTTCTCAGAGGTGTACATCCGTAACGTAATGTTTGTTGATAGTTTCAATATGTGTAAGGCAATAGACATCGCAAGTGTTACGTTAATATTATTGACTCTAAGGGGAATTAATAAACAAGTCAAGTTGAAATAATTTTAAGAAGTCGGCAAGTTAGAAATTGTCAGTGTAAAGTAGAATGATATAATAAACATGTGATTTATAAGGCATTTCTCGGTTGATTATACACCAAAGGAATCGTGTAGATATAGTACATTTACAGGTTTGCAATGTAGTAAACCATTGCAGGTTCCTGTCCATATTCAAAACTTTTGACAAGGCCAAGGTGACCTTAGGTCACAAACATTATTTGTTATTCGTGACTTTTAACGTTTGGAAGTTAAACACTTAGAAAAATTACCCTATGACCTAATGACCCTTCCACTCATGATGAAACTTTCAAACTGTTACTATACAAATGCTTTAAACCCCTTTAAAACCTGATTTAACGATGTTTACGTGGGGAGTAGCGACAAACCTAGCCGCACTTCTGATAGGTAAGGCGACAATGTATCAAGTGGACAGCAAATATCTAAACGTGTTGACATTTCAAGCCTTTTCTAGTAGTGTCATGATAAACCCGTGTATTCTAACCATCTTGAAGTACTCGGCAACGACTCGAAGTCAAATAGTTAAATGCGACACTTCAATGGAACCTTAAGAAACGGACCAACCTAAATCCCTCCCGTAAATTAGTAGATACCATACAAGTCAATTGGTACTTGTGATATGTTGTACTCTTCGCCCAAATGTACATAATAGAATCACCCAAATGTACATAATAGAATCGCCTTTCTTTTGATCTCGATTATTCCGATTGGTGTAAGGGAATGTCCAAGGTATAATTAAGATAGTGCTTGTCGCTAACACACACGTCTATGTATTGGTGTACATAGAGGTGTGTCGTAGCGACCATATCTCATCATTTAGACGGATGTTTTACGTTTTCATTTAAGTGTTTTGACACTAGTTTACATTTATGACTTTGGTTAGAGTAAAGCTGTTTTATAGATGATTTATTTCTACAAATAACTTTTCACTGTTTTTCCTGCTTAAATAAAAAAAAAAAAACGAAACATATCAAAAACTCGCACACATTAGCCTTGATAGTTTTTTTTTGAAATATAACAAATGGTCAATTTGGTCAAAACATTATTTCTTCATTGCAGCGATGATTGACAAAATATCACAGGTATAATCTTCACATATAATGATATGTCTCACTCGCATTTATAATGACTAATTTATACCGTTTTGTTCTGCAATTTATACTGCTTTTCCTTTCCTTATGCTTTTTAATGCCACTAAAAAGGAAACGATCCGTACGCTAGAAACTAGGTTTCTCAAAATATAACAAACAGATTAGTCAATGATTTATAATTGATGCCAATTATATTTCACTCATGTGAAAGATTATCACTGTAGCCTCAATATATCCTGTTATTAGCATTCATATTACCAAATATAGAAAAGAGACTCAAAACTAAACAGAAATACATATCAATATTTTTTTTATTTTTTAAAATGTAGTCAACTAGCCCATCTTACGGTATCAAGTATAAATATAAGGAATACAGTAAATGAAAACAGCAGTGTCAGTTTTATGCCTTGATTTTAAATCTCTGCTAAGATTTAATTTAATTTCTGCTGAAATATACCCATCTCGAATCGATTCAAGTTCCTGATACAATATTCCATACGGGTTTCACACTTTAATTTCCAACATGTGCCTTCATTTCAGATCCCAATTACAAGCGCATAAAGTCAGGAAAAGTGTTCCCATTAACGTTTATAAAATAGCAATAAAAGGAGACATAATTTATATATGGCATTTAGAGAACAATGCTTAATAGTTCCTAAATGACTTCCGATGTTTTATAATCTACTTGTTTCCTAAAGAGACACGTTATGATTATGTTTGTGTTGTTAGAATCAGGAGAGTAAGTGGACAGGATTTCCTTTCTGTATCTTAGTTCTTAGTGAACTCAACACACAGTCCTACTGTGGAACTGTGTTCTCGAAAGATATTAATAATCTACTCCTGTGATTATATACATCTAGTCAACAAAACGTTCAAGGCGAGGAACTATAGTGATTTAGTATCTTTCCGTCCGCTCAATTTAAAGAAAGAGATCAGACATTGGAGAAATGTATAAGCATACTAACTAACTTAGATACATCCATGAATCCACATTTAGCAACATGTAGACTCTATTTTTCTATTTTAGGCAGCAAAATTCATTTTGAAGCCGCCTGATGAAAACCCTTAACTGCATATATTTTCTACCCCGTTTCAATGATATCGTCATATTCCTTACTGATATATGTGTGATAAAAGAATGCCATTCGTTTCATTCTAAAAGAAAATAAGGACGTCTTTGACATTACTGCAGATCCATTGTTTTCAAATTTCAAACAACAGGATTGAAGTACAGCTAGTAACGTATTCGTTATGTTAGTGCAATCACACTATGTTCCTATAGTGTCATGATTAAATGCTATTTAGGACATAGGGTGTTTTATAGAAGATTTAGCCTGTACATGTGCTCAAACTGATGTATAGACCCATACACGAGTTTGACTTGTCATACATGTACTACTTTTATGATTATTCTTGTTATTTTTGATATTGATTCTTCTATCGTCATGTTTGTCTGAATAATAACACCATATCAAAGAAACAACCCCTTGTTTTGATATTATCAAAATAATCAGTTATACCACTGATATCTAGTACATGGAGTTGGATACTTACTGAGCTGTAGGAATCCATGGCATTTTCGTACTCCGCTTCCCCCATAAACTTATCACCCTCCCCACGGTACATCTCTAACATGTACTGCTTCCGCTCCTGCGCCTTGCCGCCTGCGGCTGGCACTTTCGGAAGCTGACGTGGATGCCGGGGAAGAGTGGGAACTGCAGCAGGGTTGACGTCACGGCCATGGAGAGCAACCGTATCGGTACTACTGAGGATGTTCACTGATATCGAGTTGACCGACGTCCCCGTGGGTCGGGGAACTCGAGGCAAGGCACGTGTTTGGCGGGCACCAGTTTGAGCTTCCGGTGGTTTACATGGTGGCACCGGAAGCATTCTACCCGATCGGGGTATGTGCGCGTCATTGAAGTTGTGCTGTAACTTGCGTAGGTTCCTGGAATGGTTGCTAGGTTTCGGCGAGGAAGCCCGGTGTCCGAGCAGGGTCACGGTCATTATGATAACGTTTACTCGTTTATAGCTCAAATGTTTGTTACAAAAGAAAAACAATATTTCTAAAATAAACGAACTACCACCACCAAATATTGCAATAACTGTCACATCAAACTAATCACGACAGTCGTCGGTGCTAGGAAAATCCAAGCTAGCGCATAAAAGCGTCACATTTTGATTGAGATATTAAAATCACAGACTAAGAATCCGAACTTCCAGATGTGTTACACCGTAAATGGGTAAATGAGGTTCCATCTTTACAAATTACTACCTCGTCTTTTTGTTGCAGTGTGAATCATCCAAGTCTCTCAATTTGATTCTCGAAAACGCTCCTCTCTGCGCATGCCAACGCTCGTGCTGATAGGGAGCCGGAAGCGGTCAATGGCCAATCTGAAAATGAAAGTTATCAGTAATAGTGTTCTTATCGTTGAGGTTCAAATGTTCTGCTACAGCGTGATGAAAATGTCTTTGTGTGCGAGTTCGATACATACATTTAAATGGCCGCGTTAATATTTGTTCCCAAGATTATATTTGTCGACCGGCCCGGTATGATGTTCTGATATAATGTCGAATAATGACACATTGTACCCCCACCATACCAAGCTAAGTGCTGTGATATAACTGTAGACTACTATCTAGAAGATAAACAAAGTATATCACAAAATCAGACCATGGCATGATTCAAGTTTATTTACTCGATATAATCTTTAATCAAACAGAACCTGGAATTTTATGATTTCGTACCTGATCACTCTGTAATTCGGTAAGATAATATCAAAATTTACAAAAATTGTGACAGGAGAAAAAAATGAAAAAGAAACATTTAAATGCGAACTATACAGAGCTACAAATCAGGCCAAATCTACGTATATCAGATTTCTGTTTTGAAGCGGAAATCTTGAATTTTCACAGTGCGTTGCTTTTTTTTTTAACTAAATTGATTTTTTTTGTCGCGCAGGTGTCACTATATAAACTGTGATTGTTAACCTAAAAAAGTTAAGGTTTTATCCACCCATACATTGCAAAATATGATATCTCAGTTAATATATCGTTCTCAATATGCGTAGCTAAATTCATTAAAACAAGTAGAACAGAATGCTGAGAGTTACATATAAAAGTTACCTGTATACCAATCGCGCACCTGTGTATTACGGTACTGTTGAGTGTGTAGTCAGTTTTCGCCAAATAATGTAATTTATTTGAGAGAATTATACTGGTCGTTTGGTATTTATAGTTCCAGATGATTAGTGAGCATTACCAATATAGGTAGTGAAATAATTTCCATTTCCAATAAAACTGCAATATGACTGTTGGTCAGAGGTGTATGTGTTATTGTGTGGCGAGGGTTTTCACCGAGGTTAACCTTTTCACACGATAATGCTATAATCTTAATCCTCTGATATGTTTAACCAGGCCGCGGTCATCAGCCTGTCAGACTTGACCCCACACTAATTACAAAGTATCAAAACAGAGACTATAATAAAAAAAAGGAGACACTCGTATAATCTTCTCTAACTAGACTCCTTTTTATTAATTATTACATGTAGGTAATATTTGCCAATTTGAATATCAAGTCATTTATCGAATATCATGATTTATTATGTAACATGATATGTATAAATGGATGTGTAATCATGAAGAGTTGAGTGCATAGATCAATATTTTCTTTGGTAAATAAAATAATTTATTTTTTATTTTTTAATTAATATGGTTAAATTAGTCGAGTAATCTTGTTGAAAACAATCGTCCAATATTATTTATTTAATGACGAACGATCAATGAATTGATTTGTTTTTATTTGTTATAATGATATTGTTCTCTGATTTTGTGATATTTTTTTCTCATTTAGAGCGTACAACACTATATATGGATACGCAGTACATTTTTATTTGATCTTGAACGATTAAAAATACGAAGATTGGCAAGAAAAAGCAAGATAGATGTTAGAATCTAAACAATATTACCAATATCGTATCGAATATATTCAATAAATGCTGTTTGCTCAAGTTTGTCAGGGATGGTCTGCCGAACATTCTTAGTATGATAATAAACATGTATGGAGATGGGTTGTTCATTTCATAGTGGTTTTAAATTGAATGTTAATGGACATGATAAATAAGGAATGATATCACCATCATCGTCATCATCTCGTTAAAAGGATCCAGTTATGATATAAACTGCGCCCTCCACTATACCTGATAATATTCAAATTGTGTTATTTACGCAGTTGTTGATAGAATTGTCAATAATGTTCGGTTGTACAGTTTCTAATAACTTATGTGATAATAAACTCATATGCATATAGGTAATTATCATAACGGCGATGAAAAAAAAAAAATGAAATGTTTAATATGAAATCATCATCGTCATCATTTTGTTTATATGATTATGATTACAAATAAATTACGTTTTCTGCTATACATGATAATATAACATTATCGCACCTAGCATGTGCCTTGTCGATGTAGGGTATCTAAATATAGGCCTACATTGCTTGTGTAGATCAACTGCATGAACGATTGTAATGATCGGTCTCCATCGTCTCTCATGTATAGTTTGTTAAAACTAATAAATAAACCGCATTTGTTCTAATATCGATTTTGTTTTAAATTCAAACTGTGCATTTCTTGTGACGTATATCAAATCATAACATCAGACTATAATTTAAAGTCGTAAAAGCTGACACTTCAAATATGTTTGCGGGATTATTTATGTTTTATGGGTGTTGTGTTTTATTGAAATGAAAATACAATGTATGTTTTCCATTCCGTTGCTAAAAAGTCAAGATAAAACAGTATGATATAACAATTAGTTAAAGGTTATTTTTCTAACTTAAGGATAGCAGAACTAAAGCTTTTAATGGATGTAAATATAAAGTTTTGTTTGGATATTTTAATGGTTTTTTGTTGTTGTTTCCGGTCTTAATACAGGGAAGATAATCATGTTTTGTATGTCTTTATCTATATATCTCCACAATCAAGTGATGACAAAGAGGTAAGTTAAGTACACTGTAGTATGCCCACAATGCCGGTATGTGACAGTATGAGAGAAAACTTGAAGTTACTGATGACATAGAGTTAAGTTAAGTACACTATAGTATGACCACAATGTCCGGTCGTAGTCAGCCGGAGTTGACTTTACATTATACTGGCCAATTATTGAGTACATTCTTCAATGGAACGACGAAAACATCAACATTACCAAAGATAAACAAACACGATTTAAACCCCGGACTCGTGTTTTTATACATAGTATGAAAGAAATCTAATCCATTTATTTGTATACACAAATTCAATGTGTCAATATTTACCCTCCGTAAACACCATATACCAATTTTATAAACATATTGATACAAACGGCGCCCATGTAAAATAAACGACAGCATCGGAGTTCAGTATATCGAAAGCTATGAATCCGCTTGTCAATCGAATCAGACAAAGATTCATTTGCATGTGTGATACACCAATTGTACATACATTATTATATTGAACTGTAATGACCCACTTATAGATTCATCATTTTATTTGCTGTCAGCTTTTGATTTTTTTCTCACACAAATGTTATTTTCTGCACACGAGAATAACATACTATGGAATTTAAGAGATATATCACTGATAATTGATTAATATTAAGTATGTATTTGACGAAGTAAATTAACCACATCAAATTTTAGAACTTTTATTCACTATAATTTTGGGCATATTATTTGGTTAATCTGATAGTTATGGCTTAATAATGGTACACAAAATGAGGTAAAGAGGCTGTCCAAATGAAAATATTCTTGTGAATAGAATTTCGATTGCTTTTAACGTGTGTTATTAAAAGGAAATTTATCACTATTAAAATGCGTTTTGGGAAGTAACGACCGTAATATATTTATTGTATGTGATCATTGACATGGCGAGAATGATTCTAAATGTAAATCACAACCGTTTGCAAAGGAGATAGGGTCACTTAAAATTTCTCAAAGGGTTAAGATCCTATATACCATACAGCTGACAAGCATAGAAGATCGTGTCATTATATATCAGGAAAATATCACAATGGGTTATTATAAACGAAGATAACGTTTAGAATTAAGACCAATAGGGAGAGTTTTCCTGTTCCCAAAAAAATGCAGTTTATTATGATAGATAATTAATATTACTTTATACAAATTCAAATGTGAAAAAAGAATACAGTCAAAATAAGAAAAAGCAAATTGAACCTTAAGCATATTGAAATTTTCAGCTGCAGGAAATTCTTATAATGGCACAAAATTGTATTAACGTTATAACAAGGTTCAACTAATCTGGATACATCATATGTTTTGCATTATCAATAAAAAATTACTTGCACGAGAATTTAGTACAATTCTGCTTAAAGTAAGAGGTGTTTAGATATTTTATACAAATTAGACACACACGGAATTTCTTTTAGTACGACATATATAATATAAGAATCGAATGGATATCCTTTAGCACAAATTTGATATTGATTTTAATCATAGCAGTAGTTTGACGTGGCACTTATCACTACTTATACAATAAAAAGCAAATCTATCACAGTACTTCTCTATCTGTATACCATCCACCATGGGTATGGTGTAAAAACAGCATAAATATTTGTTTCACTAGACTGATATTCTAATTTCCTACAGTATATTTTTATGATACAATGTTAGTCAATGCTTATGCATACAGAAGACACTTCTTTCGATTTAACATATGTATAATATATATCGGGTCTCATTTGATACTCACTGTGGTCAATCACTGCTGTGGTCAGCTTCAGCGGACACTTGAGGTCAATCCGTAGCGTCCAGCGCTCCGGTCGTACTCCCTCTGTTACTATGTATACACAGGATCAACTCGGGGATAAATTAAAATCTGTAGAAAAACACATTAACCAAATTTTAAAACAAAAGAAACGCACTCATTAATACCGGTTTACTAGAACCTGTATTAGTTACCTGTGAGCAGGACGATTAATAAGTACACATAATCAGTCATTAAATTACCCTACTCACAATGGGTAACTGGTCGGTTGTGCGATCAAACGGGGTACATGTGCTGATATTCCGGCTACGCAGCGATGCGCTCCAAAGAATTACAAAGGATCTGGGTTTATGAGGAAACCCTACACTGCTACAGTAGCGTAAATATAACTCACTATGGAACCTGGTCAGGGCCGGCTAGGGGTAACGCTTCGATCAGCAGGCTTGATCAATGATTTATACAGTAGCTATACCAGTACTGAATGCAACTTCAATTGATTTAGTGTTACAAGAGGCAATTATGTCAGTATTTAAAATATTTTAGAAAATGATTTATTGTATTGTTTATCGTGTGAGGTCGATAGAAACATTTGGTGTCAAAGCATATATAAAGGGGAAAAGTTGCTAGACATTATTTCCTAATGTCAGCATCGTCATACATTGGGGAGTGGGATTCTGATCCAATACGAAATTAATTTCTTGCCTGGAGTTTTGATTGCAGTTGTTGCAGATTATACATGTTTTACCTAGGAAGCATTGAGCAGGTGCAACTGAGCAATATACGTGCTCTTCTAATATAATACAGATGAAATATTTATTAAATCCAAGAATTTATAATGAAAAATGATAATTGCATAATTTTGCTTTCATGCTGGCTTCTTGTTCTAATGCTAAGTTCATCTTCACTTTTGTGATCGATACATTGGTATGCATGGGTAGGTGCGAAAAGAACGTCGTTTGTTCGTTGATGATGAAAATGTTCTATACAAAAAGATTGTGTCATAGCTTTATTCTATTACAGTTAAAGTATCACTGTTGGCTCGTCATTTAGATTTTGTTCCAAGTTTTTGTGCTGTATCGTTTCACAGTAAGCTCAAATATATTTTTGCCCGGCCAGTCTTCCATATAACACACACATTGTTCGGCCCGAGTCGCTAGGTACGAATCAAAATTTCCCATACGTATGACAGTGTATTGATTGGCTAGGTAGTATAGATCTACTCTGTGTATAATTGCGATCTGAGCGCAATAGATATCCGTGTACACAAACCAACAGTTAAAACAATACCCAACTACTGTCAGTTATACACGCCATCCATAACGAGGCTCTACACGTAGCGTACGACTCATCAGCTATTCACGAGTAAGGTACAGACAGGAGATGTATGCAATATTATTTCTAAAATAAACTACACACACGTTATTTTTTTAAAGTTTAGGATCATTGTATGTGCTGTATTTCTGATAAAGTAAAAATATATTTATGAATCGTTTAATCAAAATTATCACTGTATATTAAACATCTGACCACAATTATAGTTATTTATTACAAATTTGAAAAAACACAAGATATTTACACTTAAAATCCTCACCATATATAAACGAAATATAGCAATCATCATATATTTAAAATTCATAATGTCCATCACATATTGACGAAATATAAGGTATTCATTACATTTCGTCAATATGTGATGGACATTATGAATTTTCATCATCATATCCATAAATACATTCTTCTTTAATTTGATACTACCAAAATATAATTACCAATAAAAACAGTTTTACTCCTGAATGCTTTTGATTTTTATGAACGCACCATTTTTCGCATTGATAATGTCAAAACGATTAAACATAATATAAACCATAATATTGATGAAATGATAGCGGATATTGCTAGATAGCAAAGGTTATATACAGACTGTAGAAGAAACGAAATGCTGAATACAGGTTTACATTAACCCTCTCCTCTCTAACCCAAACCTAATTTAAGGTACATTTTTGATACACAACGTTATAGGTCCCGTGTAAAGCACGTGTTGATACCATTAGTATGGACCAGTGATTATGTATGCCATCAAAGGACGACCGCCCAACTCGCGGCCAGCCGACCTGTCACATTCCGTCGCTGACAGTGACACATGCATGTTGATGTGACCATTTTTCATTGATTTGTTGTACCTTGGCTATTTATCAAATGTCTCTTTAAACAAAACCATTTTGTATTGATCTCACGGACACGGCTAACAATCTACTTAATTGTAACATTTTATCATAAATCCCAAACAAGTTGGATGCACTTCCTTATTAGCGTGGTGAAGCTGACTTTCAAGTGTCAAACATGTTTAGCAGCAAACCTACTCTCTAAATGGAATTATTGCAGACATAGCTTGATTACTTCCTTATTGCTGTGTTTATTCCTCTACATTTATATTGGTTTTGTCAGATATATCTGACAGAAAGTAACTCTACAACGTTTTGACTAAAACTGAGAATGGAGTACATGTTAAATGATATGTATTATACGTTATAACGCACCATTGTGATCTGTGATATATCGATTCCACTTAAATAACATATAATTAGCATCATATCATAATCAATCATACATGTAACTTGAGTATCAGCAATGCATATACAGATTACATTGATGAAACAAGCACTTAAATTAATACACATGTACTCGTTCGCAAAACGTATGATTAAGACAAGACATTAATTATGATATGCACAGGCTGCTTGGGTTAAGTGAAGAACCCTTTTGAAAAGACGATGCTTGTCAGAAACAGGTATTGGGTTATAGTGTACATGTAGTATTGTATGTGTTAAATGATGTAACGTGAAGGTTCGATAGAAATTACGTTTGAATCTTATATTGTTTGTGTTTGTACAATGATGAAAACGGACGAACTCAAACAAAGACCCGTGAGTCTGACTCGAGAACCCCATCGTATTACAACAGTTCAACAGTCCTTATAATCAGTTTGTGTAAACAGATTTAACCCAAGATTGTTTTGATTTTGTTTTCAAACTTAATTCATATAGCAGACACAATGATATGTAATATTTGATAAATTATTGCTTCGATCTGATACAATATAATATCATCGAACGCATATTGAGCTGTAAATCTGACTTGTTTGACTTAAGCAAAATTGCAATTACAATAGTACTATCTTCTGAATCACACTGATCTTACTGATTGATTCTGGCAAGTATGACTTGGCGTAAATACAAAATATATGCTCATAAACATTTCAACTATATTGTGGAATATTCTTGGAATTTTGAAATCCAGTGTGACCTCTACTTAATGAGCAGTATATGTTTAGTTCTAGCATGCCCATGTATATAACTACTCATGTTATATATTGTAAACCGGGAAACGTTTGGCCTGTCAACTTTTCGCAATTCGACAGTAAAGTTCATTTTCGCCTTGTATAAAATGGCGCCCTTCTTATTTAATTTATTTGTATATTATGTTGCTTAATCATTTATGCTTTAAAGATAAATTCGTAACAATTACGTACGTTTGATAGTCACCTGTAAAACCTGTTAGGTCCGACAGGGAAACTGATACTCCTGTCTGGAATCCAATGTATATTTCAGAACCGGCTTTCATTCACCTTAACAGCTTATTATCAAAATATGTTAAACTATAAGGAATACGAGGCATATTTTAAATGTCGGCCTATTTTTAAATCGGGCTGATTATAAAGATTTTATGGTATTCAATTTGAAATTGTACTGTTTGGGCAACTTGGCGAATATAGCTAAATTAAGAACCTTGAAAATCCATTTCCAGTCTCTAAATCGAAAAATCCAATTAAGCGAGACAGTTAAGAATAAAGTCCTTATTTGAATGTTGTGTCATATTTTAATATTTGTACTTGTTATAAAAATGAGCGTTTACCTCATGTGCACTTTACAACGACATGGTCAACTGCACATATATTAAGCTGAGTTAAAAAAGGAAATTCATCTAAAACTTCAAACCCCATTGTTATGCGAAAATGAGCTTCAATTTAACAAAATCAAGCCTACTATTCATTTTAATAAATTTTCAAAAGACATTGCATGGACGAAAGTTGGAATAAAATAATGTTGTATAAGCTCTTCTTAATTTGAGCATATTCAGTTAGAAAGATGAACTTTTCGTTTGTCAATTGTCCCATGTTTTTATTTGATTTTGTCAATTTTAGTACTCATATTGTACTGGTAAGACAATAATTATGTATTTCATTAAGATTATAAACACATCCGATTTCAGTTTAATTTATCTAGTCATGAAATTAAACGTTTTCCTAGTGGCATGCTATTCAAGTTCAGCTATCTCAGGGCCTACCCTTATATTAAGCTGTACGCACATATATCCTATCTTAATTCTACCTGACCGATTTTCCAATATAACCTTGTAACTCAATTTTTTCAAACGTAGCAGCTCCTTCATTCTGGCTACTTCATATGTTGGTACGTGTTTGGAACAATATCATCAAATAGTTTGTATGCGAAAACTAGGTCATATTGTCAGGCAAATTTGTGTGTTATACAAAATATAATCATCACAACAAAAGCTTTTAATCTAGTATCTATATCAGTATGGTCCGTGGTCGATGGATCTCTAACCATGGCTCTCAAGAGTTCTTTTCATAGAATCGAATTGAGCAGAAAGTAAAACGATATAAAACATATTCAAATAATACATTGGATCTATTTGACACCCACATTTGTTCCCTACTTAAGCTTGGTATTGATTGGTATTGAGTCCCAAACGACAGCACAATGGAGTTCATTTCATAAATAAAGTTCGAGTTTAAAATCGATTTCAGTTTGTGTTAGATTTTATGTTGGGATGGCATAAGATATCGCATGGATAATTACTATTGCTTTTCGCTTGTATATAGATTAATGAACGCAAGGTCACACGTCTCTTCAAAAGTTGATGTGGGAGGGAGACTATAGATTAGACTCCATATATGCACTTACATCAGGTTTCATTCAACAAATAACACATCATATAGAAAAAATAAAATTTACTTTTCAGAAGCGTTAGGTTTTAGTTTCGTTTATATTGTAAACATTATAGATTTAGGGTTTGAGTGAAATCCCGGACAATATCTAGTTGTATGAAGCTTTAAAAAACAGTGCTAAGAATACAATACTATTCAGGATCCAGACAACAGAGTTCAGGATACAATTGTAACACGCATCAGACAAACAGTTATGCATAGTCGAAATATGATCTAAACACCAGGGTCCAGGATACAAATAAATCAAGCATCATACAACAGGGTCCAGGATACAAATAAATCAAGCATCATACAACAGGATCAAAAATACAGTTGTATCAAGCATCAGACACCAGGGTCAAAGATACAAATGAATCAAGGCATCAGACACCAGGGTCAAGGATACCGTTGTATCAAGCATCAGACAATACGGTCAAATATACAAATGAATCAAGGCATTAGACACCAGGGTCTAGAATACAGATAAATCAAGAATCATACAACAGGATTAAGGATACAGTTGAATCAAGCATCATACAACAGGGTCAATGATACATATGAATCAAGCATCAGACACCAGGGTCAAGGATACAGTTGTATTAAGCATCAGGTCAAGGATGCAGTTGTACCAAGCATCAGACACCAGGGTCTAGAATACAGATAAATCAAGAATCATACAACAGGGTTAAGGATACAGTTGAATCAAGCATCATACAACAGGGTCAATGATACATATGAATCAAGCATCATACAACAGGGTCAATGATACAGTTGAATCAAGCATCAGACACCAGGGTCAAGGAAACAGTTGAATCAAGCATCAGACACCAGGGTCAAGGAAACAGTTGAATCAAGCATCAGACAAAAGGGGGTCAAGGATACAGTTGAATCAAGCATAGGAAAAACGAGTCCAGGATACAGATGAATTAAGCATCAGAAAAGGGAATCCAGGATACAATTTGTTCAAGCAGCAGAGAAAAGGGTCCAGGATCTAGTTGTATTAAGCATCACACAACAGAATCATTGATACACCTACGTGATACATCATAGAAGAAGGTCCAGTATACAGTTGTTATCGAATTGTTTCACTCGATGGAATTTGCTGGTGAAAAAACCCACATTATCGGCTATTTAATAAAAACTCTTATTTTAAAATGTCGAATTAACGCCTCGTCGCCCTAATGCGGCTTGAAACACACGCCAGCTATTACATACAAATGTATCCATATACCTAATGTCCGTATGTCTCATTGTGTAATGATAAAGACCGCTGATTTCAAGTTACGCTCTATTACTTCGTACATGTAATTCCATTTTATGCGAGACGGGGCCTCATTATAGACTTGTGATTGTTCCAGGAGATTGCTGTGGCATGTACATTGTAGTTGATACCCTAACAGCATTATCAGCAGGTAGACGATAAAAATGCAAATTTACGCTCGAGGAGCAAGTCGTTACTGTTGGCATTAGCTTAATGATGCAGTATTCCGAAGAGTTGATTATCAAAACCAGCAAAAAAGCACATTTATCCTTTCTAAAAAAAGTTGGTAATATCATTATTTAGACTTGTTGGGAGACGCCGGCGTGAAGTGGAGATTGAATTCGAGAGGCCCCAGATTAATCCTTGCCGACTCCCCGGGTCTTCAATAACACAATTAATAACTTGAAAGTTTATTTGTAGTAAGGATAGTTTTACAAACAAGGACGTGTGTTTGTGTTTGTATTATACGGGGATTGATTTTACTCATAGTTCATGTTTAACATGTTCATGAGACAGCTCCAGTAGAACACGTCAACTTTGACACTCTAAAATCAACCAATATGAAACCCCTGGTAATGCCACTGATATCATGTTATTGTAGAGCATTCGCTCACTTTCTTTTTACTTTTACCATACGTATTTCAAAAGTCCTAGCTTTACAACGATGATGCACATTGATGTTCACCTTTTAGACAAAATCAGGTGAGATAATATTTGTTTTATTTTTTAATTCAGACACGCTAGTAAAAGATTTATGGTATCAATTTTTCTATTGAATTTGTTATTATCGTTAAAACTAACAAAACAATAAAAGCACGTTAAGGCAGGTCAGCTTTAATTATCAAATGAATTTTCGGTGGGGACAACTTTTGTTCCACTGGATCAAATCGATCATTCTTGCATAAAAGTGATTGCTATCGTTTTAAAATATACCTTTGTACTTGTAGTTTATCACTTGAACAATTACAGAAAATGTGATGTATTTTCCATTTCTCAGCAACCGTTGTGATTGGTCAATTATGCAATGATATTTTTCATCTAGTGATATCAGCTGCACATATGATAAATATAATGAAGCATCGATGTATACATGATTCGTACAGAAAGATACGATATTCGTGGTGAAGGCTGGAGGTATTATCTCCCTTCATACACAGCTGTTTTGAAGTCTGCCTCACATGCACACTACTGTGTACTAGCGAGTTATAATTAAAACAAGAGGCCCAGAGGGCCTGTATCGCTCACCTGGATACCTAGGCAATCATGGCAAACTATTCTCCAAATGAGATCTAGGGAATATGCCAGACCCCAAGGCCAATCCTTGTAGCATAGCTATATTAGATTTTTCATGCCCAGCAATTTTATGTATGGTTATGGGGTGGGGATCTCAACTGTTTCCAGGCTTTGACTCAGAAACTAGGTCCCTAGAGTTGTGGCCAGACCCCAGGATCGATTCTAATATCGTGACTGCATTTGTCTCTTTTTGCCAAGCATTTGTATATATAGTTTTGGGGTGGGGATCTCAACCGTTTCAAAGTTATGACCCAGGGGCCAAGTCTGCAAGGGTGGGGCAGACCCTGGGATCAATTCTAATGTCATGACTGCATTCGTCTCTTTATGCCCAACAATTGTATATATAGTTTTGGGGTGGGGATATTAACCATTTCAAAGTTATGACCCAGGGGTTAAGTCTCCAAGGGTGGGGCAGTCCCCAAGGCCAACCTGGAAGCATATGTGCAATCATCTCTTTATACTCAGCAATTGTATATATACGGTTATAGGGTGGGGCTCTCAACTGTTTCCAAGCTGTGACTAAGAAACTAGGTCCCTAGGGGTTCGGTCAGACCCCAGGGTCTATTCTGATATCATGATTGCATTCGTCTCTTTATGCCCAGCATTTGTATATATAGTTTTGGGGTGGGGATCTCAACCGTTTTAAAGTTATGGCCCAGGGACTATGTCTCCAAGGGTGGGGCCAGACCCTAGGGACATCCTGGAAGCAAATGTGCATTCTTCTCTTTATACTCAGCAATTGTATATATGGTTATATGGTGGGGATCTCAACCATTTCCAAGTAATACATTTTATTGGCCCCACCCCTTAGCCCGGGGGGTCAGCCCCACCATTTGTACAATTTTGAATCCCTGCCTCCCATGAATACTTCCGACCAAATATGATCAATATCCATGGCATAGTTCTGCAGAAGAAGTCATTTATAGCAATATAACCAAATTGCCCCCTTTTGGCCCCGCCCCTCAGCCCCCTGGGGGGTCAGCCCAACCGTTTGTACAATTTTGAATCTCCACCACCTAGAGATGCTTCCAGTCAAATAAGGTTGATATCCATCACTTAGTTCCAGAGAAGAAGTCACTTAAAGCAGTATAGCCAAATACCCTTTTTGGCCCTGCCCCTCAGCCCCCTGGGGGGTCAGCCACACCATTTGTACAATTTTAAATCCCTGCCTCCCAGGAATGCTTTTGATCAAATATGATTGATATCCAGTGCACAGTTCTACAGAAGAAGTCGTTTGTAGCAATATAGCCAAATTGCCCCCTTTTGGCCCCGCCCCTTAGCCCCCTGGGGAGTCAGCCCCACCATTTGTACAATTTTTAATCACCACCACCTAGGGATGCTTCCAGTCAAATATGGTTGATATCCACTTCTTAGTTCCAGAGAAGAAGTCGCTTAAAGCAGTATAGCCAAATACCCTTTTTGGCCCTGCCCCTCAGCCCCCTGGGGGGTCAGCCCCACCATTTGTACAATTTTGAATCCCCACCACCTAAGGATGCTTCCATTTAAATTTAGTTTAATTCCAACCAGTGGTTAAGAAGAAGAAGTCGTTTAAAGAAATTGTTGACGTACGGACGGACGGACGGACGACGGACGCCACGGTATGGCATAAGCTCACCTTGGTCCTTCGGACCAGGTGAGCTAAAAATGTTGCAACTCTTCACTGTTTTCATCGTTTCTGAATTGAACTATTGGCATGTTAGTGACGGTACCGCTAATTGGAATGTTTGTGATCTGTCCTGTGTCCCTTATTGGAAATTCTGGTTTTGATGACATTATTTATTAAACTAAAAACTAAGAGTGCAACTACTGAAACAGGTTGTTATAGCGCGTAATGTAGTACATATATCTTAATACAACAATATAACCTTAATTAAACGAATAAATGATGTTCTCCGTTTACCATATTTAGAATTCAGCGAATAAAACTCTTAAAGGCATGGATCCGGATCTAACATCGTGTACATGTAACGCTTTGTCTTTCGGCTGAATAATATCGGGAAACGAAATGCCAGTCCTTTGTAATTAATTCTGAATATTGAAACAAATTTTTACCGTCAGATTCACCAAATCATGGTTACTTTTAAAAGATAAATGACGCTACAAGAAAATTTACTATGTTTTCATATGATCATATATTTCTAAATGAAAATCAAATTCAATTATTGGCATGTGATCTGTACGACAGACCTATAAAACAAAAGTCGATAAAACTTCAGAATAATTCGGACTAGTTTATAGTGAAGGTACCGCTGACTGTAATGTTTGCTATCTGCCCTATCTCCCTTCCTGGAGTGCTATATGTAACTAAAAAATAAGAGAATAACTCCTAAAACAGTTGGTATAACGTGGAATGTAGTATATATATCATATAACCTTACTGGGTAATTAAACGAGTATGTGATCGTTTAGCATATTTAGAATTCTGAGAAAACAACTGTACAAGACATAGATACAACACCGAGGTAACGCTGTCTTTTGGCTGAATTCTATCGGGAGACGAAATGTTAAGTAATTTGAAATGAACTCTGAATATTGATTAAAAGCTTTTACCTGCCAGATTCACCAAATACTGTTGGTTTTTTTTAAATATAATTGACGCTACGTGAATTTTTTTATAAATAATGTCCCACGTGAACAATGACCGAACACTGACATCATAAAAAACAATATTTCATGTTTCTAAATGAAAACCAAATTCGCAGGTTAAAAAACACAATTTTGTTGAAAACGAAGTGTCCAAACATGTATATTTAGTAACAAGATATCTCAGTTATTCTAAAACGAGTCGAAGGTATTCATCACAAGAAAACACTGATAAAGCACAAAATTGTTAGTACAATGTCACTGGTTTCAAACAAGGCTGAAAAACAGTTGAATGAAAACTTAATTATCTTTATGACAACTTGATTTAATGTCTTAATACATTTTTCACTATATATATGATTATAACTATACAAAAAATTTGCAATGCATGCCGTGGGATATTAAAACAAAACGACTATATATGAAGGGCTTATGAAGAATGATAAAACAAATTAACTCCACAAACATTTTGTTACTTGGATTTCATTAAACAACGTACCATTAACTTAAGCAACGAACCAGATGACTGATGTTAAAACTTTTCGTTGACCTCACAGATGTATTCCACTTGTATTCTTTTTAAAAATCGAACCAATCAGTAATCTCATTTAACTGAGCTCAGCATGTTGTCCCAGGACAATACAAATACATCTTATTATCTGTGTCGGCTCTATATAATTCATAACCAACTGACAGACAGCACTGATTATAGTAAAGCTGCTTTCACAATGGAATTCAAATAAAGCAGAACAGTCATAGCCTGGGATATTGGACTCAATAATGTCCATCGAGTCATGATACAGCCTAAAGTATCAGAACCTGTTCCCACCTTTCTATACAATGTACAATGTTTACTGATAAATAGTGTATAACACGCATCACTCATCAATTATATTGTATTATGTGAATCCATCGGTCAACGACAATTTTCATCATTAATCTAAATGTTCTTAATAATGTTAATAACTTTGCTTTAATATTGCATGTATCGTGTCTTTTCTCCTGATGAACGTTCTATGTTGAAAGTAGTTTTCAGACGATCCATAACTAGAACTTCATAACACACACTATCACTTCTGTAAATGATCATTGTCCTCGGAAAACATAAAGACAAGTTTCAATTTAAAAACTGAACATACTAATGAAAGATACCACAAATAAGAGATAAAAGCATTTGTTCCTACATATTTTTATTGGTTAGCAGCGGTAAAGTACTGTCCAAAAATGCCCTGGTTGGTATGGATATTAAGTTACCTTTAACCAAAGCAAAACAGACAGTGTCGTATAAAACCGTGTAAAAAGGTAGATTTTGAAAAATACCTGTTTTCACTGTACACAAACAACATGTAAAACACAAACATCTCACAACATACATATATTCACACAATAATTTGCCAATAATTTGCACAAACGTTTTATTCACAATATATTACATTTATTCTAATTGACCAAATTGTGTAGAATTGTTCTAACAAACATTTAAAAGGTAGTAATGTATTCCTCATTCTTTTATCCAAGAAAGTGAACTGTAATATAGATTATGCAGACCTTCAATCTAACCTTGGAAGTGAAACGTATAAGTCCTTCTTTTCCAATGTATTAAAATGGACATTCAGGAATTTCAATTGAAGGACAAGATTCCTCAGTGAATCCTAAATGAAATATTTTGTTTTCAGTGCTGAAAGTTTAATGCTTTCTGGTGACATTCTGCAATGAAGACAAATCACATATGTACTTTCTGGTGACATTCTGCAATGTATCACATATGTACTTCCTGGTGACATTCTGCAATGAAGACATATCACATATGTACATTTCTGGTGACATTCTGCAATGAAGACATATCACATATGTACTTTCTGGTGACATTCTACAATGAAGACAAATCACATATGTACTTTCTGGTGACATTCTGCAATGAAGACAAATCACATATGTACTTTCCTTCGAAAATGTCTTCCTCAGACATCAAATAGACAACATGCTTTTGCTTTCTGTTGTAAATATTTTTCAAGTGAGTTTGTCCGACGTGCGCCTTCTTCAGATTATTAAGGATGATTGTTTTGATCCAGGATGATTTTAAAGGATTTTGAATTTTTAAATGAATTGTATAAAGACTCTTTTATAGATATATTTTTTGGAAAAAAAACCACGACAATTATATATCATTTTTATTTATAAATTGCCTTTTTTAGGATTACTTTGAACACCTGATTCAGAAATCGTAAATTATTGTAATATGATTGTGTCCTCTGGATTAAACATACTTTTATATAATTTCAGAAAATAATTAACTCAAAAATAGCAATCAAATATGGCTACCACATAATTCCTTTTGTCTTCAAAGTTTTTTTTTTTCTTTTTTTTTCTAAATGTCATGATTATTTAGATGCACTTGCACTTGTTCATTTTTTTTTTTTGAAATTCACAATTAATATCAGTATTAATAAATGTATACTATCCACATGCAAGTTATATATTATGCATCATTGAATAAAATTTTAAACTATTCACACTTACTATTTACTACCGTAAAAACCCATGTAATCTGCGCACCTGTGTAATTTGCACAGGTACTTTTTGAAAACATTGTTACTAACTTGAAAATCGCACCTCAAAAATCGTATCGCAGCAATGATCTTTCATAAACCGAGTTGTAAACACATACATGTTCTAGTTGTCTAAATGTACATCATAGATCTATAGGTCAATAACATGAACATATGTATACTGTGTCCATTTCCGATGAGGTCTTTTTTATCTGGAAACCTCGATACAATAATATCATTTTATTTACTGATTTGTTTCAGAAATCACCTCTGCATAAACGTAACTTACACAAGTTTTTTTTAGCTTTTCATACAATTTCATACCATCCCTAAGCTTCCTGTAACCATTGCAAGATTCGCTTTTAATGACAAAAAACAACTGTTTTGCAATAGAAGTAGTTAACCGGTAAGAAGTTTTTTATATACATAAGTATGGCACTTCAAAATATTTGATTATTCTCAACTTTTAATGGATCTCCTTTGGGTTTGAATGTACTATTTACTATTATTCATGTGTAACAGCACTAAAAACTACACAAACCCTATACCTGTATGCTTCTCCAAAACATTTTGTCCTAAATATACTACTCATTATAACTAGGGAACAACAAGCAGTATGACAATTGAAGATCAGAATAACCTCACCATGTACAGTGAAACGTTTCTAAACCAGACAGAGAAATCTAAACCTTTACATAAGTTACATAGAAATGCTTACAATGCGACCTCAGTCATATAAAATAACATCGCACAAGGGACTACATCTGGGTGTGGCTTAGGCTGGCAGGTTACACTATACTAATGGGTAGTAAAACAATACACTACTTCTTTATTTACCTACATTGTATAGACAGTTCTAGCCTTTATCATATTGAAGTGAGGGAATTTTGAACTTAAAGTAAAACTGATGTGCTACATTTGTATATATGATATCCACTTGGATCACATCACTTTAAAAATAAATACGTAAGATAAAGTTGATACAAGACAGGACATCTGACTAACCTCCACCATCTGATAATGTTTTGAAGGGCTGTACATGTTTTTGCACTTGTTGACTTCTTTTGTAAATAATAACATGTAGCTTTAGGACTACTGAACTTTCTACATCAGATGATTAGCAAAATAATGTCCTATATATTGCACACAATAGAGGATGGATATCATATCTAAAATACAGAAACAAAATAACATTTTATAGAGATAAATATTGTTAAGTGGTGTTCTATTGAACACAAAGAAGATTATAATGTTAATGCTTGATTTCTCATCCTATTTGTAATAACATTTAAAAAATGTTGGCTAATTTATTAAATAAAATATAAGCAAATTCACAAACCAGTTGTTCTTTTCCGATAAAGACACGTGTCACCAATCTTTTGTACAAAATTGACTGATTTAATTCCAATGCTTTCTGACCAAATATCTGGGTATACTGGCTCTAGGTTCATAATACCTTCTCAAAATAGAGGAGCTTCTTTCTTTTTTCACCACAACCAGAGTCTGGGTTTTTTAACATACACAAATGGAAAACATACACAAATGGAAACCTACCAATATTGTTAGAAAATTAACAAACTATATACGTTGATGTCTATTAATGACTATTGCATACAAGATCAAATATTCTCCCTCATCTCCACGTTATTATTATTTGTGAAGCTTGGACTTTACCAGCAACATGAAACATAAGATAATTCAAAATGTAAAAAAAATTGTCAGGCATTTCACACCAGCTGGTCGTTAAATTTGAATGTGTTCGTGAATTTTCCATCAAAACTGAAGAAATTTGATCATGTTTTTCCAATTCTGATATTACTCACTTAAACCTACATATGATTAAATTGGTTAATACTTCAAAATAATTGTCTTGGAACAAACCTTTCATTATAGATGCATGGATAAGCAAACAAAATATGCTATCAACAATTTCTTTTAAAGATGAGACGTGGTCCCTAGAGTTTGTTATTGTTTTACTGTACAAATGAATTGCCTGTTTATGACTCAAATACATCTGCTCCTAATAACTATAATTAATTAAAACCTTTCCCCTTTCACTCTCGGAATCTTGATGGGATCTAGAAACTGTGTGATGGTCTACAGATCCTTTTCTGCTATACACAACCAAAGCATGGCATGAATTTGTACATCAATACAATCACGCCATATGTATCCTATACACAACGCATGCTACAATAATGAGTGTATTTGTGACAGACACATACCATCATACTAATTGCACATTTTTAAAATCCCAAAATATTATTGATAAACTAGGTAACTGACCTGGCCTCAGGACCCAAAATGCAATGGTTAAAAACATGCATGGACACTTTATCTAATAATTTCATAAGTAGTTAAAAAGGGTCCATTGTTTAACACCAGTGTTGTGAAGAACTAATAGAAAAATATTTATCACATTACTTCCTGGTTGTCATACAGTATATTTAATGCAGGTAGATTTTATACTTGTTCACCTGACATGATCTATTACGTACATTCTGTAAATAGTTTTAGGTAATTTCATCTGAAGTGCTTTGCAACCATGCTGCCTTTTATCATCAAATGTACATTGTTATGTTTTATTCTTCAACTATAATCCATGCATCTAAAATACTATTTTAAGCCAACATAACCAGATACATATCAGATAACATGTGAAGATGTTGTTTTACATAATTTTTGGAACTAACCGACTTAAAAATTGTCACATAAAACATACAGATATGTCTTGAGACTCAGAGTAGAAACATATTAAGTGCCTCCAAAAGTTAGGGTCATATCCTACCTCACTAGTCAAAAATACCAGGCACAAATACACCTGTAGCAGCTACAAACATCTAGTATGTTGAAGATATTCCTACTTTATGATAGTCCATCAGACTACCTGGTTTTAGAGTAAGATCCATGCCCTCAATACAACCATTAAGCAGACACAAACAATCAAGATCTCTGAGATACTCAGATAAGTTATGGTCCATCAGACTCCACTACCTCATTTTAGGAGTGTGACCCCTTCCCTCAATACACCCATTCACAAACATCCAGAATCTCAGAGATACTCGTATATATTACAGTTCATCAGACTCCACTTGATGCTATCTTGTTTTACGAGTGTGACCCCTAACCCCAATACACCCAAAAACGAGTGTGACCCCTAACCCCAATAAACCCATTTATCAGCCACAAACATCCAGGTTCTCCATCATGTTGTACATCAGACTCCACTACCCCGTTCTATGGGTATGACGCCTACCCCAACGCCACCTTCATGGGCCATCATTGGAGCCACAAATATCCAAGTGTCAGTATCAGGGCTATACATTTCAACTGATGTCAAGTTACTGATCCCGTCGTAGCCACCTATGGCATACAACTTTCCATAGACTGTTACCAAGGCAACACGGCTACGCCTTACTTGCATGGATTTGATCTCTGTCCATTTGTCTGTCAGTGGGTCATAACACTCAACTGTATTGAGAAACACCGACCCATCGTATCCTCCTGCAGCATATAGTTTCCCATTTAAAACAGCAACGCCGAGACGACACCTCTTGGTCAGCATTGGAGTCACATAAGCCCAGTGGTTGGTTGATGCATTGTAACATTCCACCTGATTAAGGATAAAGAGTATTTTGATCAGCCCCAATGTTCACATAGACAACTCCTGATAACAAATCAATTATAAGTATTATTTTGAGTTCACAAGGGCTAATTTTTACTATCTTTTGTGCTTTAAAATTGCTCAAACACATTAAAAAAAAAATAACAAAAAAAAAGAAGAATAGAATTAATGAGAATAGAAAAACTCCTTTCCCTCTTTATCTAACTGAAAGAAATTATTCCACCTTATATGATTAAAGAATAGATAAATTATTTGAAACCTTTATGAGGTATCTTGAAATGCATCACTTACAGAATCAAAAATGGAGAGTCCATCATGCCCTCCACAAGCATAGATAAGACCGTCCAAACAGGCCACACCTGACGCACTCCGGGGCTTCAGCATGTTACACAAGGGGTTCCATCTTTAGAAATTGTAATTTTTATAGTTATATACTGATATCACATAGCAGTAACTGTTTATGTACAGGTATATAAACAAACCATTACAATGAACTTGGTTATAACTTTACCAGCTGTCACACTGTATTATCACATAGTGTCAGTTAATTAAGGTTTGATCAAGATGAGGCCACAGGTAAAACATTTACCATCAAGAACACTTAATGTATATAAATGTCTTTTCATTACAAAGTTGTCCATACTCTGTGGATATTGCAAAATTACACTACAAAGGTAGCGTCTTGCTTCAAACCTTTTCTCATTTATAAATATTTATTTAATTAAGTAAGTTTAGATCATAATTTATGTAGGTTTGCAATAGGAATGCAATAGGAAACGACAAAAATATCTGAGAATAGAAAACAGATGTCACAAGCAAATACATTACAAGATAATTCCAATGAATGACATTGATGCTGACTGCGACACCAATACCAAAATGGATCCTATACTCACTGGTCCCGTTCAGTATCGTACTTCTCCACCGACCGCAGCGAGGACAGGCCATCATAGCCACCACATACATACAGGTGACCATTCAGTGCCACTGATCCCAGAGCACTGGCAACATATAAAATATCTTAACATGTATCTATTATACATATATATTGTTGGAAAAGTGGCAGCAGAGTTTCTTGTACCAGAAAAGTGGAGCAGAGCTAATTATGTCCATATACAAAGATGTACTGTACTGTACATAAAGTATTTCAAATTCTTACAGAAGTACAGCAACTCTTTTGGTCAATATTTGATAGCTAAAATGACTTACTTCATTTTCAATGTGACTCTGAGAAATTTTGCAGGTAATATATACCCACTTTTGTCCTTAGTCAGTGAACTTGTTTGATCTAGTTTGCAAAGTCCTGTATGTAAAGAATTTAGCAAATGGATACGAGTGTACAATGTTCCAATATATTTATTATTACAATTCACAATGCTAAAGTCAACATATAACAACCAAGTGGTTCTTGGATGACCACAGGCATCATGAGACAAACATCAGAGAATCAATATTAAATCAATCTCTTCATTGGAGTTAAACACTTTCACTAGTTTTCCTCTAAGATACACACCTTCTCTTACAGTTCATGCTGGCTACACACTTCCAGGTCTTGCTGTCTCTGTGAAAAACCTCTACCGTGCTTAGGCGCTCAGACCCATCATACCCTCCTATGGCATACAGACAGCCTGCAGTAGGAAATATGATTTGTTTATACCATGTGTGGCATGAAAAAGTATTTTGTTATTCAGTAATATATAATAGATTTTTTGTTAAATATCCTTATCTATTTGTGGTCACAAGTAATTATAAGTCTGTTTGTTATTTTCATAGTTCTTACACTTCCATGCTACTCTTACATGACATGTCTAAATATTATCAGCTGATTAATCAGGTATGGAGTGGTTAAAAATATAAAATCAGGTATGACAAGTAACAATATGCTATACCTAATAACAGCCTTGTCATAGTGGAGACAAAAATATCTAAACTACGAAGCTTATACATGCATTTGCAGGCCTCTGTCAGTTCCAGTATGTAATTGGCTGAGTAACAAAGCTCCTTTATTTTAAAAAGGTACTACTTCTCTTTAATATTGAACCAAGTCTTACATTAATGTCTGGAGCTGAAAGTATTTCTCTAGAATGTTGAATTTATGGTTAAAACCTACTGTGGAAAGCATAAAACAACACTGCCACGATAATTATGCAGTATATAGTAACTCACCATTGAGGATAGCGACACCCACTCTGCTTCTTATGGTACTCATGGCCTCAGCTACAGACCACCTGTTGACTATGGGGTCATAGTTTTCAACCGTACTGAGCGAGTCACCTAGAAAATGAACATTTTTATACATGCACATATTATATTTATATATAAAATTAAAGAATCAGCTACAAAAAAAAAAATCTTTTAGAAACAACAAAAAATTATAAGTAGTGCTGTCACAAAACTCTGATAAAGGTTCAATGCTAGCCATTATCTTGGCTGTGAAAAGCCAAGTACTTCAAAGTGGGGTTTAGAAATTAATTCAATTTATATAAGTGCAGGTTGTCATAATGCATCCAGCTTTTATTTCACATATTTTTACTTGAGTTATTAATTAGTTTTGTAGAAAATTATAACTGTTGAATTTATGATACTGATATTAGAAAATCAAAAGTGGTACTTGATCCCAAATGATGTAAAGTGTTAACTTGTAGATTCACTTTACTGCAAACAATCACAGCTGTGACATAACCCAGTATAGAAAGTGATACAGTGTATAGGATTAATTATCACTAGCTTCATATGGTAACTAAACGCAATGGTGTACCAGAAGAGGTGAGGCCGCCAACAGCATATATAATTCCTGGAATGTCTGAACAGCAGCGAGGCCGAGCCTTGAATGTTTGAAGGAGATAGCGACGCTCTGGCATCAGGTGGTAGTCTTTGGCTTCATCAACAAGATCCCTGGGCGACAAAACAATTTGTATATCAATGAAAACATTGATGTGCAAAAACAAGCATATAAGTTCATTTTATTAACATTTTTTGTTCCCATTAATAATATTCAAAAGGTTTAGTTTGAACTGAATGTTGCCCGTTAAATAACATAAATCAGGTAAAATATAATATAACTTTTTGCATTAAGTCATTTTTTCAAGGATATTGCATAACTATAATTGAATTATCTAACATGAAAGAAACAGATATATATCTGTTGTTACTTCTTCTGCATACAAAATCCACTTCAGTAATGCTTAATTTTAATGCTGGATCAGAACTATCGAAAATATTGACAATGTGCATTGGTGTTTTTTCAACTTGAAATGTGTACTAAATACACCGAACGTGTACATGTCTCCAAGTTTGCACCATGATGATTATTCCCTCTAGTTGTTTTTAAGGTTCAAAGATCTAGTACATTAACAAACCTGCACAGAAGGCAGTTTTTGATGAGATCCTCAGAAGCCACTCGATCAGACAGGTACTGTGGAGTGAGGAGAGGCAGTCTCACGTTAATCATCAGCTCAGGTAGAATCAGCTTACGGTCAATGTCATCTTCCTTCTTCACCCAGGATATCACCGACTCAAACACCTGAAAAATTACACAGTCTATCACAGACACAAGGATATCACTGACTCAAACACCTGAAAAAGTACAGTCTATCTCAGACACAAGGATATCACTGACTTAAACACCTGAAAAATTATAGTCTATCACAGACACAATGATATCACTGACTCAAACACCTGAAAAATTATAGTCTATCACAAACACCATTATTTCACTGACTCAAACACGTGAAGAATTAAAGAGAAGGCTGCCTACAAATTTTCTTATGCATTACCTGTAGACGCGTTTACACTCCTAAAGCAAAACAACAAACCTTTTATTCTGCTGTAATAATCACCATTGAAATCATATGTGACAAGCTATATGAAAGCACAAACCTCCTCCTCTGACTGCACATGGAGTTCGTCCCTGCTGATGATGTCAATGACCTCTGTCTTGCCGAGGTTCAGAAATTCCTCAGTGTGGGCTACCTCCTTAAAGTGTTTCTGAATATGTTTGTCAGCCTCGGCCACTAGAGCTGGACACATGTACTGGTCAGCAAATGACCGGATCCCTAACACATTCTCAGGATGTAATCTGGACAAACAACATAGGTTCTAATATGAAATATATCCCTTTTATTTCCACAGACCTAAATACATGTGTTCCTTTCAAAAAGACTAGATCATGCACTCTATTATGACAAACAATTTAGTATTCAGGTATATGCATGTAAATGCATTTAACTTCATGAAATATTACTTTAAAGAATTAGTCAATTACCTGGTATAATGTTTGTTGCAATGGTGAACATGTCAGTTTAGTTGATTTTTTAAACAGTAATGAACATAGAAATGAAGTGAAACTTGATTTTGCTGACACCTGACTTGAATGACATGCTGTATATAACTTCTAAAATCAATTATGGCCTCAAAGACTGCTTTATCTACTTTTAACTCTGAAATTATAATTACTGCCTAAATGATTCAGTTCCTATTGATGTTGGTAACAAGTTTCACTGTAAGGCCACACCAATTTGAAAACTAGTTCTTCGAGAATTACCTCCCTTAAAATCCAAAGTCAAGATTTTTTTTTTTACCTCTCCTCATTAGGGTTGCTTTGACGTTTGAACGCAAGGAGAATGAAGCATTTTGATGATGCAGCTGAAATCCGAGACAGACAGAAAACGTGCCGGTCTTTTCAAACACTATGGGTGTGTATGTGATATAAGTACGAACCGATCATGACGGGAAAAATGTTGTGCAACACACAGCTACTGGATGTGACGTTTTATTATCATTTTCAAATGACTGATTTTTCTCCCCAAGTTAAGGGATCAATAAACATTGTAATGTTTTGTTTTATTTTATAATTAGATATCTTTTATCATTAAATGTAATGTATCTTTCTAATAAAAGAATTTGATTTTTCTTTCATTTAGTTCTGAAACATAATAAGATCAAAACCAAGGAAAAAGGGTCCTTCGCAGATTTATAAGTATATAGCCCAAGTTTCCTCTGGCCCTGACACCTCACATTTTGACAGATAGATGATCTGTCAAAATGTCTAAAGTCTGGTGTCAGGGCCATAGGAAACTCGGGCTAGTTAATATATAGCCCTAATATATAGTTCTATAGATTTTTCAAAATTTTACACATCGTTTTATAATACAAAGTTAAAATAAAATAAAAGTACTACATATTTGGATTGGGGCCTGTATTCCAAATGTGATAACATAGAACCTATAAGGACCATTTTTTCAGAAGAAAGGTGTCTTTTATGATGATGTCAGATATGAATAGAATAGGTAAAACTTGTTTTGTTCTGGTCTTTGGTCAGGTGGGAGTGATTCTGAGGTTTGTTTAACCATTCCAGTCATAATTGAATTTGTCTGGTGTGAACTATTTGAAACACAATGCATGAACAGTGAAAAATGGATATCATTTTCAAGTGAAACATTTTATTCCGTATGAGAATTCAAGATATATATGCAACTCATCAATTACTTTCCATTATTACAGGTATATTCTTCATTTTAACATTCCAAGTACAAAACATTAAAGACAGTACTTATACAGTCAAATACCATATAAACTATGCAATATGAGGACCCTTTCAGGAATTAAAACCCATATTTATTAAATTTTACTAACGCTCACTCCAAAATTTACCAAAAGTTGAAAATAAAAAAAATAAAAATCCCTCTGTCCTGTTTTTTTCTAAAATTTCCCGATAAACTATTTTTCAAATAGTGTGGCCTAATGTAAGACTTTTTACATCATGACAAATCTACAATGCTATAAATGCAACTTTGAGATTTCACTTTGATACCTTCTCTGTAGGAAGTTACAGCAGCCCTCCTTCACTGCCTGTAGATGTAGGAAGCTGGCAGCCACCAGGAGAGACTGGACGTTGTGAGAGTCTATCTCTACTTTACCATTGTACGCATAGTTCACCAGCGATTCCAACGCACTGTAGTGATATGTAAAATGTGTAATACAAAAACATATATCATAATCTAGGTCAAAAGGCTGGATGTATCAATAGGCACTAGTGTTAATGTCAATATCTTAATTAAGGAATGATTTTTATTTTTTCAACATTTATGAGGTCATAACAACAATGGGTTTATGGACATATTGAATGAATCGCGTTAGCGATTCATGTAAAATATGTCCAAAAACCCATTGTTGTTATGACCTCATAAATGTTGAAAAAATAAATATCATTCCTTAAATTTACATTGGCGAATCCTTTCAGTGGATTGATATAACAACGAATAAAACAAATAAACAGGGTTTGTTCCTGCTTATACACGGGTGCAACGCAGTGGCGAGAACAGTGTTTTTTCGCGGGGAAATGTGACACTATCGTGAGAGATCTTAGCAACCGTCAACAACAATAACACAACAAAATGTAGTTCCATATTCAATGTTTATTTGTAGCACAGGACACGTGAATACGTGGATATTTCACAAAGCACAGTTCAATAATATTTTAAGATGTAAGAATTAAGCATCTAGGTCGGTCGTTCCGAGTGAGTAGTTTTTGTAGTGTATTACTACGCAGTGTGATCAGGTTACTATCAGTTCCCACGTGCTGAGATTCTATGAACACCTGTGTTATGCATTTATGAATGTAATTTTTGTCAATGGGTCTAAGCATACAGAATGTAAATATCAAGTAATATCAACATCTACATTTCCTATTACTAACTACCATATAAATGACTCCAAATCTCCAGAGCATATAACGTACACTATAGCCCAACACATATCTCCAGAGCATATAACGTACACTATAGCCCAACACATATTTTCAGAGCATATAACGTACACTACAGCCCAGAACATTAAATTGAAGATGTATGTGTACAGCAGTAACATTATAAGTGTCATACTCAATGTATATGTACTGAAAAAAAAGCAAAGTAACTATATATTTATGTACTGAATGGATATGTCGATAACAAGGTTTGTGAAAGTTTTATTAAGCAAGCTAAGTAATGTAAACCGAGCTGAGATAGACAAGCTTTATAATATTATTAATAGCATATCCAGTTTTTGTCAGTATAAGATTCATATCCATATATGGCTTTATAAAGTGCCTACTTTCAAAATTTCAAGCACATAGCTTTAGTTAAACGGGCACTTAATACACATATAACTCTACAGGAGCTTTCTGTGATGCATAATGTACCTACAACGTACATGTAGCCAGTAAATCTTTTGACAAGTCGGCCAGTTTCTATATCATTTAATGTTTTTATTAAACAATGTAGCACATGATCACCAGATAGTTAACTTTGTAGGATGCTAGATAAGGTATTGGTCAGGATTAAGGTAGACTGATCATCATATTGAAACAGTCTTCTATTTATATTCAGTCACAGTACTTGTGTACTCACTTGGGGTCTATACCCTGCATGGAAATTTCATCCTGTTTTGACTCCACCATGTCATGCGTAAACATAGCGTGGAAGTATGGAATAGTTGCTGCTAACACTATGCGGTGAGCTGTGAACTTCCTATCCTCCACCTGAAGTAAAAAAGTATATGTATCAGGAGACAGAGAAATGCAACAGCCAGACCGTGGCTCGAACCCAGGACCCTCCGAACTCTAGATGCCTGATGCTCTACCAATTGAGCTACCAGACTATCAACCCAGTCCCATTCCACTATATACAGTATATAATACATAAGCACATCAAGCTCTATGCTAAATGTAGTTTACATACATGTGTGACATATACACCTCCTGTGCTAGCTATAGATCATCAAACTCTAGTACCTAATACATTTTTGGAATGATAAGTTTCCCAATCAATGTCACCATATATCAGCAGAAAGTTTGTTTTCTTTGCAATAGTACTGAAAATAGATTTGTACAGTATGTCATATTTTTTACTTATTTTACTGAAGTTCAACATATCATTGGCATTATAAAAGCAAAAGATTGGGCACAAGATACAAAAACAATATATTAATGCCCTTTCGAATCCTTAGAATTTCATAAAGCGTAAACATTTACATCAAAAGATGGCTAACTATAAATATATATATATTTAACTATAATGGAATGAGGAAAACAAAAGGGATGGTACCCTAGATTTTTCCTACTGACCCTAGAAAGGTTATCACCTATATCTACTTATATTCAGAATTAATTCATTAACCAGGCAAAGCTCACAGCCACTGTTCTGAGAGTTTTACATTTAATACATGTCCAGATAAACATACAAATATATATCTATCTATATATTCTGCATCACCCTCTTTCGAGTATTATGTGCAGCGTGCGCGTCTGTGCATGTTAAAAGGTATTGTGTGGTGACCGAGATAGAAATGATAAAGTGCGGACTGGTGCATGCATAAGGCAGAGGGAGAGGAAAGAAAGAAAAGTGTGATGAGAGAGTATTTGGTGCTAAGAAATGTCTATAAGTTTAGACCTGCTACTGCCCATACAAGGGCATATTTTATGGAACCTCTACGGATGTTGATAGCTCCTGTTGTACAAAATAGCAGATCTATTATGGACTTTGAGTCGGTGTGTGAGGGAGGGGGGTGATAATAATAGTTTGAAGATTGTTTACCTAATATACAGTAATATACACTCCAACTGAGCTGTANGGGGACGGGGGAGGGTGAAGTTAAAAATATGCTGACATAGTCTATGGCCTAACAAAGGGAGTATCACTGATTGCCTTCTTGAAGGTGTCAAGTGATGGACTGCTGCAAGCTTCTAACGGGAGGGCGTTCCATTGGACTATGGTTAGGGGGAAGAAAGAGTATTTGTATAAGTCCTTATTGGTAGGGATTTGCCGAAAAGATAGGGGGTGGGCATTTCTTGATAGTCTCGTTGGGTGGACTACATATGGTGGCATTTGGATTGCTACTGTCTGGTAGACTATTTTATAAAATAAACACAGTCTGCTTTTGGATCTTCTGTGTGCTAATGTTTGCCAACCCAGACTCCCTATATTATATATGTATAAAATTAAACTGATGAAGAGGGTCTGTAACTAACAACTCACTTGGCATTTTACCAGCTAAACTGTATGACAATCTTCTCAGGACTCTTATATACATTATCTATATGGAACATCAGTTGTTCTTAGCTTATATTTAGTGTCAGATAAACAACAGTAGCAGGAATATTTCCATCAGTGACAGGGTCACATAATGCCTTTATGGATCGATATTTAGGCTCATAGGTACTACTAGCCTCGTCTGTCAATACACATATAATATAATCTGGAGTATAAATATACTGGAGTGAGTGCAATGATAATTAATGAGTATGATTAATTGGTAATTACTGTCTGATTTATCAGTTATATTGTCAATCAAATGTTTAATAGGGTAGAAGGGGACGGTAATAAAATTACACCGGCCGAGTAAATTTTAATAACTTGATTCCGGCATCCGGGGGGAACCTGCGTAAACGTCGTTCTATCAGTGTGTCTGTAAATTTAAACAGTACCATCATACACTTTCAACAAAATAATACCTTGAGTGTGACATCGCATAGCTTCCCCTGTCGTCTAATGTCTTCAAACACAGGAAATGCACACACGGGCAAGTCATCTTTGTGAAAAATAACAACATCTTCAGACATCTTTATACCGGAAGTAAATTACACAGTAGCCTCCCCTCGTATTTGACATTTTGGCGGGAAAAAGAAAAAGTTAGCCTTTGGATAGATCAGAGACCTAAAGTGAAGGGACCGTTAATTTAGGTCTATGCTTTAAATGAAGAAACCCCCTTTTTTCTCGGAACAATATATATCTCGAACACCAAAATACTTTTTGGAAGTAGCCTGCCTGACAGACTTGATGGACCTACTTTTATTTTGCAACATGGTTTTGATGCATGTAAATGTGATGTATATATATACATTGACAAATATATATGGACTCTCTCTCATATCGACCTATTATCTAAGTATAACCTATGATCTATACAATCTTCATTAAGCACACACACATATATATATATATATATATATACATATATATATATATATAGAAACCTGAAGAGCCCTGTGAAGGGTGAAAGCAGCTAGTTTTTTTAGTCGGTCGTTGATTTTATTTTTTCTATATTTACTTCCTTCACATGGACATTTAATCCCTTTTTATTATATATATAATTATATATATATACATAAGACAAAAAACCTTCTGACGTTTTTGATCCACAGATCAATACCTATAATCTCTATGTCGCAAAGACAATAAAAAATAAACTTGTTATTTATACCTCGACTACCTTTTACAACTATGTCCTTAACAATTTATAAAAAAATAAATTAAAAAAACAATGTTCTGCCATGCAGGTCTCTGGCTAGAATGACCCGCTATTGGCCGAGTGGTTATAACACTCCGGCCTTCCACGCATGCGGCCGGGGTTCGATCCTCGAAGTCGTCGTACGTATGTACAGAATATTCAGAGAAAGTGTTTTTCTCCTGCCCACACAACTCCAACAACCCAGGTGGAGTGTAAAATGGTCTGGGTGGATGTTGCGGTATCTGTGATGTAGCATTCAAGTGAGGTGGCATATAAAAGATGCCGTTGGAAGCACGGTCCCACTACAAATAGAACACAATACATATCCAGCACACACGCATGCATACATACATAGGGAGATATAAGCCAGGTGGCATAGGACTAGTAATTAGCCCCTGATAAGGCAGCTCCTGCGAATTCCTCAAAAAATGTATATCCTAATTGTATTAATTGTATATCTATGTACTGTAAAGCGCTTTAGAATGGCTTATGTTAGCTAGATAGGGTACTATATCAAATGTTGTATATTATTATTACTATTATTATTATTATCACACCTGTATTCCCAGTCATCACGTGCACGTTGCCGCTACTCATGAATATCCATTTACGCTAATCTCAACTTACGAAACTCTCAGCTATATATGTCGCTGCATATATGGTTCTACTCGGTTTGATTTTTTACCCTTTTTGTTACTATTATTTTCGGCAACATTGAAACATTCAAAATAACAAAAAAAATATACCCCTTTAAATTCGAGGGGGATACAAGGCCGATTATCTCATTTATTTATTCAGTTATTTAAAATACAATTTCCGTTATTTTTTTATTGTTTTGTTTAATTGCTTTAATGTTATTTTCTCGTGCTAACAGTTCTCACTTGATGTTGAACTTAGTTATCATCCATGCTATTCTGACGCTAATCAGTATTTAAAATCTCTTAAAATCCTATATTGTTGGGTGGAGGATGGAGGGTGGAGGGAGAGGCATGCCATGGCTCTCGCCCCGGACACGCTGGAGTTGAGGCCTAACAGTAAGGCAGCCCCATACCTCTCTCCTGAAAGTTTGCCTACACCTCAAATTTACCCAAGCTAAACCCCCTGATAGTAGTTGTATAGCAGGGGAAAGAGAAATGCAAAATGCAATGACCAGACCGTGATTCGAACCAGTGCGTGTATGCGTGTATATATTGCATGTGTTGATGAAATCAGTATTTAGTGTATATATATCATGTATGCGTACATGCAAGTAAGTGTTTTCATATATCTAATGTCGGAACTCATGTGGATAGTTGTGTCGAGTCTACTTACCAAACTATGTATATATACTATTGTTATTTTTCTCTCTCAATGTAATGGCAAGTGATCTCTATGCTAGCGTCCCCCAACCTAGATGGCAAGGTGCACGTGATCAGAGTCTTACACGAAGGACAGAAATGACAGGATAAAGACTATCAAAGCACGGGAGTGATGGACATATTATCAGTTGAAGGAATATGAGTGTCTGTATAGTATTGCTACCTGTGCCGCCTGGGTGGGTAGCCTAATGACAGTCTGCCACCATTTAAAAATGTGAACAGAAAACTTTTATATTGGCTGTCCCCACTTCCCGTTCCCTATTTTATGAGCAAAGGTAACCAGTGATCTAATATTAGGCATGAAATATTGATGATTTATATATACCCTCACACACATGAATGCATTCTTCTTTTATTAATTTTCATAGTTTATGTCAAATGTATTTATAGACACCACACGATCAAAACCGTTATACTGTACCGACTTCTTTCATGTTGGTCAACCAAAAAAGATAGCTATGCAGTTGATGAAGTAGTTTTAACCAAGAATGTACACCAAAACAAAATGTGATAAATGACATTATCACACATCTTCCGTAGACCTTAGAATAAAAGGTACCGATCACTATTCAATGACACATTAAATAATTATCCATTGTCAAATATGTAACACAAACATGAAGTAGAATAGCGAATCTGTACCCGGAATTTCATGAATAAATTATAATGAGCAAACCAGCAATTGAAATTATCAAACCTTGTTACAATATATTTAAACGAACCAACAGGACATGGGATGTTAACAAAAAACATTGAATAGTTGAAAAAGAGCAAAGTCACGTGAAGTAATAATGGGACCAAAAATTTAAGGTCGTCTAAATAATGCTCTTGATATCTCTCCTAATGTGATACTGTAGTAACATGGTAGTTAAATGTTGATTTCTTCACTGCTTCAAATAATCACGTTCTTTTTGTCATCATTAACTCCTTATCACTTACTAATGTTATAAAGGATCTTACTCGTACTGGACGTACTAGATCTAGCTTACTAGATCCTATACTATTATATGACTCTATTTCTTGTATTGACTCTTCTGTAATTTCTGTTGATAGATCATTTAGTGACCATGATGATTGTACTGCTTCCATTAATCTTCCTTGTCATTTTAAACCAGTCTATAAACGTAAGATTTGGCAGTACAGGAGTACAAATTTGAAAAATTTAATGAACTTATATATCTTATCATAATTGGATAGACATTTTTTATAATTGTGACTCAGTTAATTTAGCCTGTGATCGTTTTACAAACATTTATCTATCTTTTTCCAATGAATGTATTCCTAGTAAAGAAGTAAATATAAAACCTAATGATAAGCAATGGATGACCTCTGAGCTTAGAAAAAACTTAAGAATTAGGGATAGGTTACATAAAATAGCGAGGTCAACCAAACGTTTGGTGGTAGATATCAATAAATTCAAATCACAGCGAAACAAAGTTAATAATATCAAAAGGATGCACGTGTTACTTTTTATGAAAATGTTTATGATGTTATTGATGGGTACTTCTGATCCTAAGTCGTTTTGGAAATCAATTAAAAGGTTAATTAAAACGTCTGATACTTCACAACCTATACCTTCCTTAGTCGATCCTATCACTAATGACATAGTTACTAGAGATGAAGATAAAGCTGAATTATTAAATGACTATTTGTGTAGTATTACTAGAGTAGATGACAGTAACACTGATGTTCCGATTATTGAGCCAAAAACTGACAAATAAATTAGTTCAATTAAATTACATTCAACTAAAATACGCGATGTTCTACAGATATTGAAGCTCGGCAAGGCCTCGGGTGGGGATGGAACCAGCCACCATATGCTAAGAAATACTGCTCACACTGTTTGTACTCAACTCGAAATAATATTTAATTAGTTCTTATCAACAGGAATTTATCCAAATAAATAGAAATTAGCTAATATCATGCCATTGTTTAAAAAGGGTGACATACATTCTCCTTTGAATTATAGCCCAATTTCCTTGCTGTCTATTGTTGGTAAAGTTGTGAAAGAGTGATTTTTAAACATTTGTACAACTTCTTTATAGAAAATTCTTTGTTTTACAAATATCGGTCTGGTTTTATGCATGGTCATTATAAGGTGTATCAACTCATTGATATTTATCACTATTTGTCAGTATTGCACTTGAAGAAAAAAACATACGTGTGTAGTATTCTGTGACATATCCAAAGCTTTTGATGGGTTTGGCATAGAGGTCTTGTAGTGAAGTTAAAATCGTGCGGAATTTCAGGTGAATTGCTTATATGATTAGAAAATTATTTGTCTCAGAGACACCAAAAGGTATTTTTAAACAGTTAATATTCTTATGTAGGTCTAATTGAGGCAGGGTTGCGCAAGGCTCTATTCTTGGCCCACTTTTATTTCTTTTATTTCTTTTATTTATTAATGACATGGCAGATATTTTTGAATCAACGTCTCGTCTTTTTGCAGACGATACATCATTACTTAAGTCATCTTCATCTTGTCTAGAAATTCAAGAAACTTTAAACAGACACCTAGAGATCTTANCAGTCAGAGTAATACCATCCCCGTAGATAGAATACCGGCACCTGCTGTTACCCACTGCATGTATCCTAAGAGGCGGGGGGGGATCATGTAAATGGAATTTACACTTCTGTTATGAAAAAGATTAATGTCTTGCGGAAACTGAAACACTTATTAAGTAGGGATGCTCTTTTTAATAATTTACAAGACTTTTATTTTACCTGTTTTAGAATATGCTTGTGAGTTGTGGGACGGTTGCACTATATTTGAATCGGAAGTTAGAAAAAGCCCAACGTGAAGCTGTTCGCATTCTCTTAGTACCCCTATTAATACTTTATATTACGAAACCAGTCTTGAAACTTTATCTAATAGCAGAAAACGGAGGAAACTTCAACTATTGTATAAGATGCATAATAAATTTATTCCTGATTACTTAAATTATCTTTTGCCGCCTTTATCTGGAGAAAATAA